CATGGCCCAGAAGAGGATGTTGAGGACAATGTATATGATCGTCGTAATCAGGTTCCCCCACTTGTCAATCAGGACGGGGATATAATTGTGAGAGAGGGTCGTCCCGCTCGGCTCTTCGTCGCTCTCGCTGTCGTAGTCGCTGTCGCCGAAGTCCGAGTCGCCAAGGTCGGAGTCGTCCGAAATGTAGCTCGCTGTGCTCGCGATCGCGGAGAAGGCCGAGCGAGGCGGCGCGACGCCCAGCATCTTCTTCTCTACTTCCCTTCGACGTTCCTCCTCCTCCTTGATCTCCATGTCGTACTTGTGGAAGGACTCGACGATGGTGTGGACGAGGATTATGACGAAGGTGTAGAGGATCGAGACGAAGAACCAGATGTCGACGAGCTTGAAGTAGGACGTCTTGGGCAGCGTGTCCGATACTTGCGAGAAGAGAGTCATCAGCACGAGCAGTGACGTCAGGGACACCATGACGCGATTGGTGAAGTCGTACCATTTGAAGAAGAAGGTCGTGTACGTGATTAGGTTGATGATCGTCGACGGGATGAAGATAGTGAGGATCTGGGACGCGTACAGGTGCTTCATTTGGATCACGACCTCCAGACCCGAGTACGGTTCGCGCGTCGACAACTTGTTCACGACGATACGCCCGATGTCGTATTCGGACAGTCTGTCGTTGCGGTCGTAATTGATGCCTTCCCCGTACTTGAGCAGCGCTACGTAAGCGTCAGTGTTGCGCTTCACCTGGAAGATCATGCTGCAGTAGTTTGTGTTGAATGGGTAGAAGAAGAAGTTGAAATTGCAGGAAAAAGTGATGGTGTACTTCCTGGAGATGCGGAGGTAATTTTCGTGCCCGTTGTAGATGGAGGCTGCGGGGACAGACGGTTAGTGTTAGGTATTTGAATACGATATCATAAGCTCTGAAAGTTCTTGTCTAAATTCACATCAGTGGGACAGGCCTAGCGGAAACGTGATTAGCAAATCTTTGTTTTTCCTTTTCCGAGTCTTCAGCTACTTATGATTAGCAAAACGGAAAATACATAAAATAAATATCTTATTTGCTGTGGAATGCACTTTTACTCTTTTCAGTCAGGAAACTTAGATAACTAGAATTTAAAAACTGGCAACGAAACACTAAATATAAATCTCGCGAACCACACCAGATTCGCTAAATGACGGCCACTCACAAATCGCTCGAGCCGCGCCAAATCCCTGAAACAAGGCACGGCGAAGAAGCCAGACCGAAGAACACTGGCAAGTCTCACCTTCCTTGGATAATTCTACGTTGTCTTCTACTTTGCCCCCAAGACGCTTTATGGTGACTTTGGAGTGGCGATCAACCTCCGAGTTCTGGTTGCCTTCTGCGTTGAGGAAGTCCACCACGGGAACCCAGATTTCCTTCGCGTCTTCTGGCAGGACGATGTTCAACTGACGATCTTCCCTGAGGTTCTTGAAGTGCAGTCGGATGTCCTTCCAGATCATCCTGGAGTGTGTGGGATGACGGTGTGAATGTGATGTGTCTTTTTTTTTTACAAATACTATGCAAGATTCTTTACTAGAAGCGATATCGAAATAAAACTAGACTATGGGTCATTTCTTCAAGTATTCAAGGATAAAAAGATTAAAAAAAACAAAAAGGGAAAAAACATTCGCGTACTTGACGACGACGTCCACGGTGAAGCGGTTGCGAATGGGCTCGACAGTCTTGAAGGACTCCAGGGTGAGGTTGAGGAACACCGGCAGAGGTCCGGTGTTGTTGAGGGAGGGCGGTGGCAACTCCGGCTGATATCCTGTGGAAGAAAAGTTCATTTGAAATCTATAAAACAATTCGGAATATCCTCTTTCTCGTTTCATTTCTGTGATTTTATATTATCAAATACTGTTTTAGGCGATTATGAAGATGTGTTCGTGCCTTTACCTTCTGGTTTCAGCACAATGTTGCAGTCAAGTTCGTCTGATTTGTCGTTACACTGAGGTCGCCGGTCACACACTTGGTCAATGTCGATGCAGTTGCCGTCGTTGCAAGTGAATTTAACGTTATTCTGGCACTGCGTGAGCGCCATCGAGATCAGCTCCCCGGACTTCCGGCCACACAGCCCGTGGGAGAACCTCCAGTTGTTCCTGCCGATCGGGTAGTCGATGGAGCCCGACTCCTCCATGACGGCAAACGTGTTGTTCTCCAGAATGTTCTCGAGCCTCCAGCCGAGCTCGTCGTGGAACACGTGGGAGCGGTAGTAGCCGCGGAAGTAGGGCTTCTGGTTCCGCAGGCCGGCCAGGATGAAGCGGTCGTCGTACAGGTTGCTGTCGCAGATGCCGCGCAGCCGCAGGAACACGGGGATACGCACGCGGCACACGGGGCAGAACTTGAAGGACTTGTGGCAGCCGTTGTCCGCCCACGTGCCTCCGAAAGTGCCGCCTTTCATCACCGCGCAGTTCTCGAGCTCCCCGCCGCTGGGCTGCCCCTGCGCCCACAGCAGGAACTGCACCTCCTCGTGGGAATTGTAGT